CTTAACAAAATTCCTCTATAAATTTCAATTATTTTCAATACGATTTTAATAAAATTTCTCTAACAAGTTCAATTATTTTTAAAAATTGTAAAAAAATTTTCTAAGCAATTCAATTGTTCTCAAAAGTTTTCAATAAAATTCTTTGTAAATTTCAATTATTTTTAAAATTGTCAATTATAATTATATTCAAAAATTTCATTATTTTTACGAAATTTAATGAAATTCCTCAAAAAAAATGTAATTATTTACAAAAACTCTAATAAAATTATTTAAAAGAATTCAATTTTCTCTGAATAATTTTAATATAATTTAATAGGAAAATTATTAATTACAATTAATAATAAGCACGATTATTTTAAAAACTTAAAAGAAAATCTTCATTAAATTGAATATTACTTTCAACATTTTCAGTGAAAATTATTTTGAAAAATTCCATTATTTTCAGTAAAAATTATTTTCAAAAACTTCATTATTTTCAAGAAAATTAAAATAAATTCTTCAAAACAATTCCATTATTTTAAAGAATTTTCATAAAAATCTTGCCAAGAATTAAATTATTTTCAATACAATTTTAATTACATTTTCTTGAAAGAATTCAAATACTGAAAAAAATTGTGATAAAATTCTTGAAATGAATTCAATTATTTTCAAATCTTTTCATAAATACTTTGCAAAAATTCAATGATTTTCAGTACATAAAATCAAACTGCAACTAACTAATGATTCTCATAATCAGTCTCATAAGCTGAAATGAACTTTTTTATTTGATTCAAAAATTTTTGAATAAAATAAATATATGAAATATGATTCGAAAATTTGATATTCAATATTCCACTAATAAATTTCTTTTCGCGGAATAAGAACTTTTTATTTGAAACAAATAAAATTTGATTTAAACCAAATAGACATTGTTTGAACCAAATAAAATTTATATATAAACAAACTAGACTTTATTTGAGCCAAATAAAAATTTGCTTGTAACAATTAAAATTTTACTTATAACAAATAAAATTGTAGGGGAACATAGTCTAGGTCGGCCACCTTTTTGACTTTTGTTTATAACTTTTTTTTAAAAATGAATTTGGACAATTGAAGTGTATGGTTGGAAAGTCCTGTTTAATAGGAACATTTTTTCTGTACAAAGTAAATTGACAGGTTTAAAAATGAAAAAGTTATAAAGATTTAAAAAAAAAAAAATTTGTAGTCCAGGTTGGCCATTACAGTCAAGGTCGGCCACTTTTAAAATTCAAAGGGCATTAATCGTTAAAAAATAAAATAACATGTTTGGAGTTACGGAAAATTGATTCTTTATTGTTTACAGTTTGTAACTTAATGAAATAACAAAATAATAACAATAAACAATATAAAAAAATAAATATAAATAAAAAAAAGTTTTGCACTAAAATATTAATAAAATTAAATAAAAATATTAATAAGATGATCAATTATATTATGAGTTATACAGAATTGCAGTTTTTGCAAATGAAGTAGCTCGTCCTCAACTTTGCGCATTTTAAACACATAGTGGCCGACCTTGACAGTAAGTAACATTACCGAATTGTTGTAACCATAAAGAAATACGTTTCGGGATTCGATTTTTTACTTTGTTTTCCTTTCAACCATGAGTCCCACAAATTTTCTGCATACTTGCCTTGACGATTCAATTTGTTTTTTATCTTTTATTCATGGTTTTTCACATTATGCACAAAACTTTTTTTGAGCTTTTTTTGTACCGACGTCACAGAAAACACAATTTTCGATTTTCCGAAAATGTAATTGAACAAAAAGTTAGGTTTCACTAAGACAAGCTTCGACAAAAATGCGCGTAGGTGGCGCTAGTGAACTTGACAAAAAAACGCGAGTGGCCTACCTAGACAGTAGGCCAACCTTGACTACATTCCCCTACTTATAACAAATAAAATTTTACTTATACAACAAATAATAATTTACTCACATTTTTTCTAATGATATCAAATTGAGACAAAAAACGAATCAAAAGTGTTGCGAAGCAACATTTTTGATTCGTTTTTTGTCTCAATTTGCTATCCTTAGAAAAACTGTGAGCTTGTAAGAAATTCTACATGTAAAAAATATTTTTAAAAAATTTTTTGTACACTTAAAAAAACTGTAAGCTTGTAAGAAATTCTACATGTAAAAAATATTGTTAAAAAATTAAAATCGACGCTAATTTTACAAATCCAAAATATCGAGTTTCAATATACTGTGTGATATATATCATCATACTGCAAGGACTTTTTATTCGAATAACTGGTTCACATAGATTCTCGAGTTTGTTTCACGGCTGTCGTCGCAGGAACAGTGAGACTGACACAAGTTTCTGTCCCAAAGGGTCGTTAACGTAGCTTGACAATTAAACTGATATGACCAATACGACAAGAACAGTGTCATTCCAAGTTTAGTTTCAACTGTTTTGCTGAGTTCTCCAATTCAAAGACATTACGTAATCAAGACTAATTAGTAAACCAGGCAACTTCTTGTGGCCGTCACCTTAAAGCCCAGTTAGTTATTCTATTGCAAAGGCGATTCAAGTCATTTTAACATTTAAAACAATTTCTACAAATTATTCAATTTTCAAATTTAATTAAAACAAATTTTTTAATTTAATTTTAATACAAATTTAAATTTTTCAAGTTTTTTTTTCACTTTTTAATTATACTTTAATTCTTAATAATGTAATTTTTTGCCTGGTTTACTAATTAATAATTTTTAATTCAACAAATTAATTAATTTTTAATTTTTCTTTAATTCCGACTTTTGCGATACTACATTATTATTTAATTAATAATTATTATCAATATTATTATTGCTTTCTCATATAGAAAAAGTATTAAAATTAATTAATAATTATTATTGTTATTATTACTATTAATATTATTTAGTAATTAATTACTATAAATATTATAATTATTCATATAGATATCGAAAAAGTTTTCATAAACTCCAGGCAAAAAATTGCGATTCACTCTGTTAGTATTAGTAAATTAAAAAAATATAAATTCACCTCGACATTTCTTTAAAATATTAAGAATACCCTTTTCAATATTAAAAAATACGTAATTTATTTTATTCACAACATAAAAAGCATGAAACATGAAAGATAACACAAATGTCAACATACTACTTATCTGCAATGAAAGCGGAAACCTAAGCTGAGTGAGTGATATTCCATCGGCTTACACATACATACATACAAAATCGACGAAAACAAAAAAGGGATTTAAAAAAAAAGTCTGCAAAAAGCGGAAAATTAAAAGTACGCCCATAAAATGGATGAATTCAACTTTTTGCTTATCCCCTATTTTTTCTCTTCTTATTTTCGTTTTCCTCTTGAAGCTAAAAGCTTGAAAAAAACAAAAAGAACAAAAAAAAAAAAAAAGAAAAAAAATTGTGCACTAAAACTCGGACTCGACTTTCCGCGGTTTTGCAAAGAGTTATGAAAACTACTCTATAAATACGATGTAGAAAATCGTCAGAAAAAAGTTGGATTGAAAAGAAAAATAAATTTCGATAACTTAAAATTCTTGCGATGAATTTTGGGTCAAAAGTGTCACGTCATTCTTTTTTTTTCTCTCTCTATATCCATTTATTTTTATTTGAACAAGAAATTTTCGGATCTAACAATTTGGTACACGGGGAGACGGTAAGAAGAAAAAAAAAGACAATAAAGATAGGGCGACTGTAACTTTAGGAGATATTCTTGAGAAATTGGGATGTCAAATCAAACATTTACTTGATAAGAGTCGACGCCCTACGAATTCGTTTTCGATTATTCGCTTCCATTCATGTGCCACTTAAGTTCATCTTCATTGTTCGCATTTCTTTTTTTTCCTTCTCCTTTATTTCTTTTCTATTTTTTTTCTTCGCGAAATACATCCAGAGTTTCGACGATGAGAAAAAAACTTTCTAATAATAGTTGGGAAATTTTATATTAATTTTGTTTTTTTAATATTTTTGTTTTCTAATATTCATTTCTTTTTGTCTTCTTCATTTCCTTTTGAGGCTTCTGATTATTTTACTCGTCAAATTATTTTTCAAGCAATGTAAAAAAAATACTATTTATTTACATTGAATGAAGAAATGAAAATTTAATTTTCCACCAAAAAAAAAGGATGGAAAAAATTTAAATTTTCCATATATGAAAATGGTAAATAAATAAAAAAGATAATATTAAAAAGAATTTTATGTAACTTTGAAAGAAGAGTGAAAATTACAGTTTCGAGGTCAAAGTCATTTTTCTCCCGGATCCTCCTTACTCTTCAAAAAAAGAAGAAAAAAAGAAAAAAGAACGAAGGTGCTACGTCGTAAAAATTTCTTTTTTCACGAAACATGGCTATACCTTAACGACTCTTTTGCACTCCAGAGGAAAAAACTTCTCGATAGGTGTGAGGCAATTTAAAAATGTTCCCAAATCTTTGGGGGATAATATGTCAAAACTAGAAAAAATTGCCTGACACTAATTTAATTTCAACTGTTTTTAAATTTATTTTTTAATTTAAAATCTTTTTTTTAATTCCAAACACTGGTCTCAAAAAAAACTGTTACAAAAATTTTGAAACTATAAACATGTTCCAGAGTATAATTAGAAAAAATAATTAAACTTCATTCTACAAAATTTAAAAACAAAAACTTAAAACTTAAAATTAAAACTAAGAAAATTTTTTTTTTAAATAAATTTTATTTGAATCAATAATCTTAGTATTTAAAGCAATTTATTTTCTTTTTTATTCAATTTATTTTTATTCGCTTCAAATACCGAAATTATTGGTTCAATTAAAATTTATTTGATTGAAATAAAAATTATTTGATTCAAGTGAAATATTTACTTGACAATTTAATAGACTCAAAAATTATTATTAAAAAAAATAACAAAATTATTATTCGTCATCAGTATTTAAAAAAAAAATTTAGAACCTTGAAAAAAATCGAAGAAAAAATAATTAATTTAAAAAACTAATAAACCCTTTTTCTCAAATTTTCAGATGCTGGATTGCAAATCACCATTTCGACAACGGTAGGAAACATTAAGGACTCACATATTTTATAAAAAAAATATAATGACATTAAATAAAATAATATCAAGAAAAAAAAGTAATTTGATAATATAGTCGGAAAAGAACACGTGAGTCACTGAAATGGAGAAAAATCACTGCAATTCGAGCAAAAACAAGAAATTTCAATTATCGAATTAAACAAAAAAAAAAAAAAAACTATGTAAAATATATAATGTGATATCGTAAACAATAAGTGATAAAAAAAGTCCCTTTGAGTGAGACTCATTAAAAATTCATTTAATTTCTTTTTCAACAAATTTGCATGAAACTCCAATTAAAATCGTTCGATAACATTTTATCCAAGTGAACAAAATTCAAAATATTAATTAATATTTAAATATTTTTAATTAATATTTGCATATTATTAATTAATATTTCAATATTATTTATTAATATTTTAATATTACTTATTAATATTTCAATATTATTAATTAATATTTCAATATTATTTATTAATATTTCAATATTATTTATAAATATTTTAATATCATTAATTAATATTTTCTTATAATTAATTTAAATAATGAATTAATTTAATTAAATTAATCACGAAACAATATGAAAGAAAATTATTAATCAGAAGACATTTTTTTCGAGTCATTTCTCTCAAGAAAAAATAATAGTCTTCGACGTAAAATCGATAGGCAAAAATAGAAACAAATTTCTCTGCCACATTATATATAAAAAAAAGTGTTCACAAAAAGAAAGTGCAGAAAGTAAAGAATTTTTTTATTTAATACTCTTCGTGTATTAACTTTATTTTGACGAAGATGATCACTTCTCCTCCTGACAAAAGTGTAACAACTTTAAAAAACAAATGCAAAAGGACAAAAAAAACTGTATATACCGCATAAGTTTCCATTTCCGTCACTCTCGACGACGAACATAAAGAATGAAAATCTGTTATCTAAGAGAAAAGTTTTTTAATTTGTCAGAGAAAATAAAATTGACCGCCATTAATCAAAGAATAAACAAGGATGACAACTATTTTCGCTATGTGTGTATTGGAATGAAATTTATTATCCCACACAATAAGAATTGGAACTCAAATTTGGGATCGAATTGGGAATGTCACATAGGTATATGTGTTATATAGAAAAAAAAAATTTCGAAAAACCGATTATATTGTTTCACTTGGTAATAAATTTATTTGCGGCTGACATATCACATAATTGTACCGCGCATACACAATCATCCTACCAACAAATTATTCTCATAGTTTGCAAACGCAAGCTGATAATTGTGCGACTCCCCATTAAATTGGATTTATATCCATTTCTCTCTATTCACCGCCACATTTCTCTCGTTACCCATCATTTTTAAATTGTCGCTTCTCAAGTTCAGTTCAGTCATTATTCATTTATTTTTTCAAGGATCAACATTTTAATTGAAAATCAAAAAACGCAATCTCTTAATTTCAATTCTCAACAATATTTCACAAATATTAATTTTCAACAATTTTTACATTCTCATCATTTTTAAATTAAATGAAACAATTTTTTCCGAATTAAAAATATTGAAATTACATTATTTTGATTCTTAATCAAAATAAGTTGAAATTTTTATTTTTTTATTTTTCAAGAATAAACATTTTAAAAAGCTAAAAATAATTTTTCTTATTTTTGAGAATTGAATTAATTAATGTTTTGAATTAATTAAATCAATTAATAATAAATAATAAAAATAACAAATATTATTTTTTAAACAATTTTTTTCATAAAATCTCAAAAATATGAATCAAGTTTTCTGAATTAAAATTATTGAAATTACATTATTTTGATTTTTATTATTTTTCTAACATAGTTTTTCAAAGGATATCAAAATTGAGACAAAAAACGAAAAAAAATTTACATTTTCATTTTAATGAAAAATATACATATTTTTAATGACGAAAATTTAAATTACATTTATTCAAAATAAGGTCAAATTTTTATATATTTATTTTTCAAGAATAAACATTTTAAAAAGCTAAAAATAAATTTTCTTATTTTTGAGAACTCAAAATCAATTAATAACAATAACAAAATTATTTTTTAAACAATTTTTTTTATAAAATCTCAAAAATATGAATCAAGTTTTCTGAATTGAAATTATTGAAATTATTGAATTTATGTTTACATTTACATTTTCTTTTACATTTGCATTTTAATATTGAATGCAGAATTTATATTTTTCAAAAAAAGAAATTGCATATCGATTTTTTTTTATTTTTTTGGCATTTATATGTTCAGACAAATAAGGAAATGAAAAAGAAAATTGTCGGTGAATATACACTTTGAGTCAATATTTACCGCTTCATTTCAACCGCAAAGATCTTCTTTTGCACTTTCTTATTCGCTTTGGAAATTTTGTTTGCTCAGTTGAAAGACAAATTTAATTGAACTTTCAACAAGATCGTTTTTTTTCTTTTCTTTTTTCCCTCCATAACCTCCTGCTCCTCCTCAGCCAAAGACATTTTACAGAGTGTCAAAGTTTACGAATGTTATTATTGAAAATGATGAAAAGCAGAACTAAGACAAACTGAATTTAATCCTGTTAGGAGAAATGTCTCGCAGAACAAAGATCAATTAACCTTTAAGCGAACGATTTGTTGTACAAAAAAAAATGAAGAGATCGAAAATTGAAATTGAAAAGCGGAGATACAAACACTCCTAGATGACATTTAGATCTCTCTATTCTCACCACGAATTATTCGTCTAAAAGCTTTTGAATTTAATTACAAGGGCACGATAAAAAGAATATTACAAAGAATCACTATTTATACAGTAATGACTTTTTAAGTAATTACTCTCAAGTATAACGATTCGATTTAAAACACTTCTTTATCTTCTCATTCCCTTTCCCATTATCTTCTTTTTTATTCCCTCTAAATAATACATTGGAAATTAAATCAACTCCCTGAATAGTCTTAATTTAAATTAAATACCTATCTTCCAAAGCAATTTTTCCTCTTTTTCTCGCTAATTTTTTTTAATAATCATCAAACATTCCACACACAATAGGAAAAGAAGAATAGCAATCAATTTAAATCCGTCCAGTTACGTTAGAGAAAAAATTTCTCGCGAATGTTTTTAAATTAAAATAATAATGCGAACGTACGCTTTATATAGGTACGAAAATCCTCATCTCATTTAAACACAGATTAGGGAATTTCTACTCACTAGAAGTCTAATTATATTTTTCCATATGTGCTTAAAATGAATTTGAAATTTTCACTCCTACAAAAAGAAAAAAAATTCGTTTCAGAATAAAAAGTATTCTCTGCAATGAATATTTTTCACTGTTTTTTCAATATTCTTTTAAATTTTATAAATAAAAAAAAGGAATAAAATCCATGCGTAGAAAGCTTGGGGATTTAATTTAAAAATGTGTGTGAAACAATAATTACTATACTGAAATAAAGTCGAGAGTTTATATTTTGAAAACTATATTTTCCGAACAAAATTTGTTTTATTAAAACTTCTTTTAATTGCAAAAGAAGAAAAAAAGACAGATTTCATCTATCAAACTTCAATCGAAAATTTCTTTTTGAAGTAAAACATACCTAAATTGCTTTTTTTCAATGTTGAAATATAACTGTTTCTTAAAAGAGAAAAATACACCTTTTAATTTAGTTTCAATTGCAGAAAAATGTGTGCGAAGCCCTTAAAGTTCATCAGTTAAAAGCAGTTAAAAAAACAGTTAAAATCAAATGAAAACTAAAATCAAGTAACATATTTCTTTCATAAAGATTTGTATTTGAAAATTTATTATTCAAAAAATATTCAATTTAAAAAATTGTGAACATTTTTACGATTTGTATTTTTTAAGTTAATACTAAATAAACTTTTTCAGTTCAATGAATTAACAATACAACCAAGAAAATTCACCAAAATACATCAAATCGAAAAAGTAATAATAGACAGACTAATAGAAAGAACTAAATAACAGATTTAAAAATAACTATTAGACTATAAAAAATATTGCAGAATAAATATATAATATATAAATTATAAATAATAGAATGTTGCTCTAATTTCAAATTTTTTTAAAAATAATACTTTCAAGAATAATATTTTAATTCCATTATTAGAGAGAATTCATAAATGAATAATGAAGTTGTAACAAAACGGATTATAAAATATTATGAAGTAAATAAGAATAAAAACCTTTAGCGAAATAAATAATAAAAAAATTAATAATTAAAAGTAAATAATAAAACAACCCGCGCATTATTCTTGAATTGAATTAAAATAAATAATGAAAATAATAATGAAATAAATAATAAAAATTATAATGAAATAAATGATAAAAATAATAATGAAATAAATAATAAAAATAATAATAAAATAACTGATAAAAATAATAAAGTAAGCAATAAAAATAATAATAAAGTAAAGAAATAAAAACAATAGAAAAGTAGCAAATATGAAGATATAATCAGATGTAATGAAACAACTAATTAAAATAGCAAGGAAACGAATAATAAAAATAATCATTAAAAAAACTATAATTAAATCAATAATGAGATATATAATAACAAAAATAATATAAGAAAATAAATAATAGAAAAAATTATTATAAATAATAGCAAAATAAATAATGAAATAAATAATAATAAAATGAATAACAGTAAGAAATAAAAGTGCGATAAATTTTTAGGCACTTATCGGGATTTAAATCAAGTTGGGCAAAAAATATAAATTCTATTTATATTATTATTTATTATTAATTATTAATAATTAAGAGTACACTGAAAAAAAATTTATTTGATTCAATAAAATTACTAATGTAATTATTAAAAAAATATTTACTTGAATCAAACAATTTTTATTTAAATCAATTAAATGGTATTTACTTTAAATGCTGAATTTGTTTTCTCTAAATTTCAATCAGTTGAAAATCAGAGACTGAATTTTTGTTTCTGCAATCAGTTAAAAATAACTGATTGACAGTGAAAGAATGACTGATTTTCAGTAAAAAAAAAAAAATACTCTCTAAATCTAAATCAGTGAAATTTATTTAAAAATAACTGATTTTCGGTCAAAACTATTCTCTAAATCTAAATCAGTGAAATTTAACTGAAAATCAGTTAAAAATTATTGAAATATTAGTCATTTTTCACTGATTATCCAATTAAAAAATTACTGGAAACTTCTGTCTTGCATATTGAACATTTCAGTTATATTTTTAATTGTCCAATCAGTGAAAAATGACTGATATTTCAATAATTTTTAACTGATTAAAATCATGAGAAGAGAGGTTCGGAAAATCAGTCAAATTTCATTGATTTCGTTTTTTGAGAGTGAATAAAAAATTATTTA